CAGGCATGCTAGAGCCCCAAACAAGACTTCATGCCTCCCATATGCCTCCTCTTAAACATGTAAACACCATCTGTTCCCACTTGTGCAGCAACAGTCAACAAGAAATTTGCATGAAAGACATCAGTACCATGAAGATTTGAGGGTTTGACCGTGGCATCTGGTTTCTCCTTTCTTCTTGGTTTTAATGACACGAAAGACCCCTTTCCCTTGTTTTGTTTCCAGCCGGAGACTGTAAACATGTGCATTACTCTTATTTCTTTGTATTTAGCCAAGAGACACTAAACAGCGCCTTGAGTGATGAATAATAAAGAGCTGGAAGTGAACCTTGGGGTACAAAGGGAAACAGAAAATCCAGGAATGTCAACATAGGGTCTGGATGGAGTGAATGGACTGCAATGATGAAACATTGACTCGACTGAACTAGTAAGTGGATTAGTCTCAAAATAAAGCTTTGGCATTGAAGACACAGCATTGGTAGTAGATGATTGAAAACAATGTGTTTACTGTTACCATGTACTTGATATTATGACATATATGCATGCCTAAAGAGTCGTTTCAATAAAAACAATATAAAGGCATGTTTACAGAAATGTCCTGTATAATAAAAGCTTGTTCAGCCATCATGCACTCTGACAATGTTTAATTCACCCACATTCTTGCTGATGACTTTGAGTAAACTCACCGTGGTCACCAACTGGTGGTCTCCAGTCCACATCCGGACTGAAGCAACTGAGTCTGGACCATGCGATCGATCCTCCTGGCATTTTTTTTTCGGATGCAGCAGACCTTGACCTTGTGTATGTTGCTGATGAAATTTAGCAAACAAGCAATTTCACCTGTGGAATCTCTGTTAGGATTCCTACTGATTCAGTCCATAGACCTAAAATGTAACAGGTAGAAAAATGCCTCTTTTGGACCGTAACCCTCAATCAGAGGCCCTTATTTCTACTCTGTTTTTCTGTCAACCGTTGTAACGAGACCTAAACTGAACTGATGCTGGGGTGGCCAGTTCCTTTATGCAGATATCCGTGTCTATTGACCAAAGTTAGAGTTGATGGGGGTTGGGGAGGGGGGACAGATCAGACTCCAGCATGCATGTGGGCCTGGGGTAGAACGGTGCTGCACTTTCTGTGGAGTCCAGTGACCACTGGTCATGCTATCTGTCTGACATGGTGAATGCGATTGTGTGCATTGAGATGAAAGAAGCAGTCATTGACACATTATTTATTTATATAACTGCTGTTATATGAGCCAGTCTAATTCCATTTCACTTACCTCACTTATGTGCAAGCCCTTCTGTACTAATATCACACATATTCACACCAGTTCTCTTGACTTCATACAATTTCAGCTATATGTGGAGCCCGGCTCATGACATAAATATAAAAATTATATACTGTATATCGTGGCCATGTTTTACAAATCGTTCCCACAATATTCTAAATCGTGGCCACATTTTACTAATTTACTAATTCATTCCCTCATTTTAGGTAAATCGCGGTCACGTTTTATTCATTCCCACAATATATTAAAACTTAAAATTTTAGTACATAGTCTTCTTATTGCCTAATGCATTGCTTTCGTTTAGGCCGCTAAGCATCTGCATCTGCTGCTATGGACAGAGATAGTTCAATTGAATTTAATTTTAAGGTGGGAATAGAGTGGCCATCCGTCCCGTATTTTACAGGATCATCCAGTATTGAAAAATAAAACGTGGTGTCCTGTTGCAGTTTGTCTGACATTTGTGATTTGACCCACCCCCCCACCAAATTTTAATTGTGCTCCACCGCTCTGCATGTTTTATTGTGAGGGAAGTTCCTTATTACTTCAGATTGGAAGTGGCAACCCTAGTTTGGGGTGACCCACAAACACATTCTTAAAAGCCTTGCATTGCAAGGAATTATTATTAGCGAGAGGCAATTACGTATGGAGCCTCATACTTACGTAGAATATTGAGAGGCAGGGAGCTTTACCGAATTGATTTGTTCCCTCGTTTTAGTTAAATCGTGGCCACGTTTTATTAATTTGTTCCCTCGTTTTAGTTCAATCGTGGCCACATTTTATTAATTCGTTCCCATGATATATTAAAACGTGGCCACAATATATATCATTTTCATGGTGATGTCATGAGCAGGGCGTCGTAGCTGCAGGCTACAAGCAAGTTAATTCCAAATTGTTCTGATTTCTGTTTGTGCCATTAAGGCTTGTACAATGAAACACATGCTACTAATGAACCATTTGTATACAGCTATACAGATGTAATTTAACACAGTAGACTGTAGAGAAACTAAACTGTTTATTCCTAAGGATGCATGAAAACAGTAATTTGAAGGTGAACAATAAGCTTTGATTTTGTGGCACAGTGCTGGAATCCTGAGCTGACCCTTAGCTGATAACATTTCTCCAACTGGGAAACCAACATTTCCGTCACGTTACAGTTTCTTAATCACTGCATCTGCGGTGAGCCATAATTAACTTAAAACATAACTATGGCTATGCTGAAAGTCTGCCTTTTATATTTTCTTCCTGTACCTTAGAACAAAGTAATAGAAATCATTAAGCACCCAAGTGCTTAAGAGTGTATAGTTTGAAGGTAAGCCAGCATGCATCAGAGTCATATCTTAGTAATCATGGATGCATTTCAGAACTGTCTGCCAAAAAGCCATGCTTTGTCTCTTCATCTTTATTCAACACCCCCTAAAGTAAAAGACATATTTGAACTTTCCATCTCAGCTAAAGGCTGCTTGTCTCATGGTGTTTCTTCTGGTGGAAATCAATTATTTCCATTTCCCAAATATAGCATCATGCAGATGCAAAAGGCATGAATCACAAGGTGTTGAGAGAGACTTTCTATCTTGGGCGATTACCTCAGGTGTGAACAGCTCGCTGATCGTGGCTTTACTTGGGCCTCCAGGCCGTCGGTGATGTTGATCCAGCACCAGGTGTGTGAGAAGGGCAGCCTGGTGACGCTGCTTCATATCTTGATCTGGCCTAGAGATGTGTCTGGTTTTCTCTGCAGGATCCATGCACATCTCCCAGAGTGATCCATCAATAGGGCAGAGAGACACATCTCTGTCCATCTTTGACACACTGCAGGTCAGAGGGCTTGTGGAAGATGACCGAAACAGTCAGAAGCTTTTATTACTTCAGGACATTTTTACATGCTTTTCTTCATACGTCTGATCAGATTCTTTACTGTAAGCATTCAGGGAAGAGTGTGCACCAAATTTTCTTCTATCCCTTACGAGTATAAATTGTATTGCTTTTTTAAGTGTTTGTGCACTACATAAAAATATGCAGAATACATTTTTATTCTTAGAAAGACAGGGACAGTGAGTTGCGAGGAGGGTGTGCCAGATAGAAGGAGAGAGGTACAGCTGGGGTAAGCATCTGGAGGGTCTTACGATGTTTCTGCTTAAAGAGGAGGATGGAAATCGAAGGCCAGGGTAAAGGAAGGCCTCCTAAATGCTGCGGCCGGGAGACAATCCCAAAGCCAGATGCCACGTATCTCTGGGCTGTGGCTAAAGTTGTTCCCAGAGGCTTCTTGCCCGGAGCTGAGAAGGTCGGCTCCAATCTTAACGAACCGTGTGTGCGTGGGCCTTCCTGTCCAAATGCAAAACCTCCAGGCCAGTTCCTTCAACCCCATGTTGTTTTAAGAGTAATGGCCACTAATGACTTCCTTGCATTTCCCCTGCAATTACTACATAGCAATTACGGTTGCTGCACATCCCTGTGATCATTTTCCTCACCGAAATCTTGACTTAGTGCTGTGCTCGGGAAATTGTAATGGATCAAGTGGCTTTTGCAGCAGGATTAGAACACAAAGTAGCACTTGGAATTTTGAGCATGGGACAGGTCACATTAAGACAGACATGTTGTCCATCTGTGGTCAAGAATTCCTAGGAGTGCAATAAAATTGAATGTTTCTGGGTCCTGGTACATTGGGTGCAGATCCAGTTGACGACAACTTTTTCAAATTGTGTCTTGGCCTAGTGGTGTTTCAAAGGACATGAAGGAAGGTCTTATCAGCACAGTAACACTGAAAGCCAACCAAATGACTGTAACTCACCTGGAATTGTTAGCATGCAACGGAGTGTGAGCTTCGTGTGAAAGGAGGCATACTAGTTCTCAAAGGGCAAGCCGTTGACTTCTAGAATCAATTAAAAGTGCAAAGGAAGTGTGTTTGTACGTCACATCCTAGGTTAGTTGTCCCTGCCTGCAGTAGTATGCATTGGATATCAATACCTGTGGATGGACATCCATTTGCAAGTTAGGTGTCTATGCCTGTGACTGCACGTCCCTCCCTGAGTTGGCAGTGTCTTTTCTCGACTGGCTGTCTCTGGCCCACTTCCCAAGCTCTACTGGTACTGAGTGCAGGCCAGACTTTTCCCACAACGTCATAGCTCAGATGACCTGGCCTAAAATTCCAGTGCTAGGGGCTAAAAGCAGCCTGACTAAATAGGAAAGGTTGGTGGGTGGGGAAGGGGTGCAGCGCAATCCCTCACAGGTTAGCAAAGGAGAACTGGGTGACCCAAAAACCACGAAGCATCAACCTCAGCAGTGACGTCAAACGAGACCTCGTTGTGGAACAGCTAGCAGCTACCATTCAGAGAGGAGTAAGCTATCTCCTCTTACAGCTACACTCAACAGACAGCACTGAGCAGAGACTTTTCAATAACTCATTGTCATTCATATCTATATACTGTATATATAGATATATTTTAAGTTCATTCACTGCTTCATGGCTTTGTGGATCCAGATATTGCTTATCCCGTTTTTTCTGGAGTCAGTTTTTATCTTAAATGACCCACAGAAAACTGTACTGTTTAGTACTTTCTCACAACCTTATTAAAAATTCAATTGTACAATGCTAACCAGGGCCTAGTAATGTCCCATTGACTCCAGCTTAACATTTTTATCTACAGTATACACAGTTTTATAGAAGTATGTGACTGGGATTATTGAATTATTTGCATTATCAGGAAAAATAACAAAAGAGATGATCTGGAATGTTCAGTTTATTTGAAAAGACAGCTAAGAGGGAGCGATAAACTGGAAATGGGATCTTGCCCACGATAATGTATTCAGTGACAGTGCCAATTCACAGGACAAACATGGATGCCAGTCATCTGGCTGCGCCCACAGGCCGCCTCAAAGGATCATGGGAATTGTATGCTGTACCTACTCCTGTCACAGCACCATGTCTTTAACCCCAATACATACAAAGGTAACAAGAAGGTAGCAATTATCACGTTCATAAACAAACAAGATCATGTTGATATCAAAGGCACTGAACACCAGCTAAGTTATCCATACTGAAATGATGACCATGATGGTGTCAGTGATTACCATACACAACAAAATGCTTAAATAACATACTATTTTTAAATTTAATATAAAGCCATTTTTTTCCATGAAACTTTCTTTAAAATGGACATGCAAGATGACTGAAATTTAATTCCAGTTTGTCAGAAAGTTTAAATTCGCTTACATAAAAAAGAACAATCTTGATTTAAACAGTTTAACTTATAATAATCTTGGTAAACCTGCAATAGTATTAACAACATCTGTATGGCCCCCAGCATAAACCCAAATGAGGCCAATGAGAAAGTATAAAGGAAAATATACATATTTTAAGACCACCAACTCACTGTACTTGGGATACCCTACTGCATTCTGCTCTAGACCCGTAAAGAACGGCTGTGCAGAGGTTTAAAAAGCATTTTGGTGCTCTGGCAGCAAAACAGGGATGTATGGTAAACATCTGTACCTGCTTCAAACACCCAAATCTGCTTTCAAACAACTATTTTTCTCCACTGAGGTTCAACAGCTCCACTGCTGGTAGTCAGGATGAAAAAGAAGCTTACCATTACACAAAGCAATATAATTTCTGTATTCTGATCGAAAACAGTTTTGTAACAATGAAAAATACTAACATAGTATGAACAGCATAATCCAATCACTGTAAATCCAGTTGATGACAAATGGTTACAAGACACATTATGACGTAATTTGCCATTTCCATTCATACCAAGGAACTGGTTACACACGCTGACACTACTACACACTAAACAGGATGGTGACATTTCCTTCACAAGCAGAATGCATATATAAATGGCATTACTTAAAAAAAAATTAAACATGGGGGAGGGGAGACTCCCTGTTGGGTAAACCTGATGTCTTCGTGTGGCTTCCATGTCTTGCATCTACTCTTTACGAGGGTTTATCATTAAACCTACTGATGCCTTTAACAGCCCATCTCTGCCCCAGGGAGGGAAAAGCAGGCATCAGCCCAGACCTTTTACTATCAATGCTTTCAATTCTCATTTCATTCAGGGAAACGATAGAGTGCATTTTACAAAAGTTTTCTGTCCAGACAATTACTGCATGGTGACAAAGTACAATCGTAACCAAGAGGCAAGAGCAACAAAGTATTCTCTCTATTACTTTAGGATCTCATTTTACTTTTTCCACTGAACACATTCCCAAGCTTCCATCCCTTAACTCAACACTTCTGTAACGTCCTGTTTAACTGACTCTTCAAACCAGGTGGGTGGGCACTGCCTCAAAGAGAAAATGTCATCCCTTGGTTCTCCCTCAAAGCCATTCTGTCTCTTAAGATATCTTCCCCAATCATCTCCCGCACTTCCTACATGCAGTTCCTATTCATGTTAAATCAAACGGAGACATGTATAAAACATTCATTTACATAAGGCACTTCCTACAGCAGAAATATCTAACACTCTATATGCAGAATTCTTTCATAGAGAGGACATATATGCCCTCGTGTTTTCCACGTGAAGGTTACATCCAAGATACACATTCAGATAGCAGAGTATATTATTTTATACGGATGTCAGTTTCGTAACAGCAGACATGCCAACTCTAATTTGCAATGATGCATTTTCTACCGGAAACTGTGATCCACATTACCAGTCATTTGAAGTTCGATCTTTGGGGGTTTTTTTTCCCACTGAGGTCCAGGCACCTAAACACCAAGTTCTGTGGTGCTTCTTCTAGGAACTGAGCCCTTCCCCATTTGGTGGATTTTCTCTACTTCTGTCACTGGTGTCTGTAAGAGCAGTTCCTACTAGGTTTTCTGGTAAGAGTGTAAACATCTGGATGTGGGAAGCACTTGTACAGGCATGATTTGTACAGTGAATGTGCGCATGTGGCAGGGCTGTTAACACCCTCATCGTGGTTGGACGGCAAACTCACAAAAACCCACCCAGCCATTCCACCACTGAATCACAAGTATATCCGGCGACTGATGTCCTTGGCTTGCTGGTACACTCGATTTAGGTTGCCCATGTCGCTCAGTATTGAGAAACCATCATTATCTCTGGCGGAAACTCGTGTTCCATGGCATAGCTTTGCTGTGGGGAAGTCCGGCTTGACCCTGAGGCTCCCAAAGCGGCCTGGCTGGAGTATACTCTCTGCTGAGAGCGATGCCCTGACGTGGGACTGGGTGACGCCCTCATTACCTGCTATGCCTGAGGGCCGCTTCTGACTATGGAAGAGAACGGGGTCCCTAGTGCACACCATGGTTGGTATGGTATACTCAGTTGGGTACTTCCCACTCCGTTTCAGAATGCCTTTCTTACCCACCATTCTCCTGGGGTGTGTGCCAGTGGGAGAAATTGGCACAGCACCCCCCATAAGCTCAGAGGACTCGCTGCGCTCTGGGGAAGAGTAGTAGCCCGATTCTCGCTGATTGTTCTTTTTCAGAATGCCCTTCTTGGGTAAAGGAGGTGGTATGTCAACCAGCAAGCTGCCTGCTATGGCAAGACCCCCTGTTTCATCCTCTTCCTCACTAGAACCAGAGTTTACATCCTGCGTGAAACGTGGGGCATCTGGCATGGGAACTCCCAGTATTCTTGATTTCAGGATGCCCTTGGGCCTCTTCAGACCTGGTTCACCCTCTCCTCGGATGCAGACCTGTCCCCCGTCGCCTTCCGGACTGGGCTTCCAGTATCGCAGACGGCCCAGGGTCCGGGTCTCGGGAAGGTTTTGCCGTGGGGGCGGCACTGGGGGCGAACTGGTCTGGTGGGTGGTGACACAATCACAGACGCTGTTCCTGCAGCCCCAGTTAACCCACCAGTGGTGGGCGATGTCCTCCACTGTGGCTCGACGTTCCGGGTTCACCATCAACATCCAGCGGATAAGGCCTCGTGCATCTACAGGAGTCGAGAGGGGCGAGGTAAAGAAAAAGAGTGTGAAAAATAAGCAGAGAGATTGCAACAGGGCAGAAAAGTATCGAAATGTTCGAAAGTACGGTACCTGAGGGCTGAGCTGGCTCTCGATATTCCCCATTGCTGATCTGACGGACAAGGTTTCTATGATCTCCTCCATCAAAAGGCATGGTCCCATAAATAAGAGTGTACAGCAGCACTCCCAGTGCCCAGCTATCCACCTGCAAACACAGGATACCTCAGTCCCACACTTATATGCACAAAAGTCCATTCTGGGCCCACTTACGGGGACAGCATGCCATTGGCTGTGTACCTCTGGGCCACGGTAGGGCCGTCCATTGATGATCTCAGGCGAGGCGTACAGAGGGCTGCCACAGAAGGTCTGTAGGAGTTTGTCTTTGTGGTACAGGTTGGAGAGGCCAAAATCTGCAATCTGGGGGAGTGGAGGGGGTCAATTTTGGGAATTGCAAATTAGGTTTGTAAGTTTATCATTGGTTTACAGCCCCTTTGAAACTTATAAGAAGAAATGTATCTATAAGGAGCTCTCCATACCTTGATGTTAAAGTTCTCGTCCAGTAGCACGTTTTCCAGTTTCAGGTCCCTATGCACTATCCCATTCTGTAAGCCGCAAAAACACACGTTAGGATAAAGTTTTCGCAAGGTGCACCAATATGGTTGATGGATGTGATACACGAAACCACAAAGAAACAGACATATAATGAACTAAATAACCCATGACCCAATCCCCCAAAACCTTCACAATACCCACCAGAGCCGCCATGACGCTCAATAAACGCTTTGCTCTGATTCTGATTCTTCTGACATAATCAAGGTGGCTGTACCAGATTCTACTTTTATCGCTTAGCATTTCTTAATATACAGGATTTTTTTTTCCTTCTTTTTTTGAAATTTTAGTTTTATTATTATGTTTGTGTTTTGTTCTTGTTATTATGATTTCTGTTTATGCTTATATATTTTTCTTACAAAGCATTTGTGCACTCTGACTTGAAAGGTGCTATATAAATAAAATGTATTATCATTACCATCTGAAGTTGAGAATTTTGACCAGGATGTTGCCTGAGCGTCACGTGTGGCTAACTGATTTGACCTATCATGCATGTCCATTCTGCACAGTCACTGACACGCCTTACTGTCCCACCCTATCCTGGGTTGCCTCAACTGGGACTAATTCTGAATGGCTGTCCTATACTAATCGTTTATGGCTAGCAGAAGCAATGACATCATCCCTCCGGTTTTCAGCTGTGGGCACACTGGGCCATAGGAGTGATTTGCTCTGCCGACGGGACGTCAGCAGGAGGAAGGAATGAGGGAAGGTGGATTATAGGATGTGATCTTTTGAGCTGCCTGGTCATCCGACTGGCGATTCAGGCAGGGGAGTTATCAGTCAGATGGTACAGCCTCTCATGGCTCAATGCCAGGGCAGCTGCTTCAAGTGTGTCAACTCCTGCCTCCCTCACCTTATGGCAGTAGTGCACAGCGGAGACGATCTGCCTGAAGAAATGCCTGGTTTCCCTCTCGGTGAGCCGGTGCCGCTCATTCAGGTAGTCGTACAGCTCGCCCTTGCTGGCGTACTCCATCACAATCACGATCTTGTCCCGGTTCTCAAACACTGGAGGATGACACAGAAAAGAGGGCTGTGAAATGGGGGCAGCCTTCTGGAGACAGGCTTCCGTCGGTCTCAGATCCGGGTCGCGGGCCTACACTGAAGCCGTCGGTCTTCTCCACGTGCGAACACACTTAGCGGGATGCCGAGAGGGACCGCTCCATGCTATGGTATCCCAAGGCAGGCTGAGCGCATACAAGGTCCCTCACCGCCTTCTACGGCTTTGCAATTCAGCCAGATATCACACGCCCCCACAACAGACGCTGTTAAGGGGGGGTGGTGGTGGTCAACAGATGGAAGCTTCTGCTGGCGAGGTACAGAAGGGCTCCCAAAGATGGTGCCATCTACTGACTGCCATATGGACCTCCATATTCACAATCTCCAAACCAAGCCCTGGGACAACAGGTACCAGGCTAAAACCCTGGTATAATCCTGCCTTTCCTCCACAAACTGGCACCGCACTGCTTTACTTTCCTGCAAAGTTGCTCATCCTGTAACCGATGCATGTGTCTCTCTGCCAGGTTCTCGTAACCTGGCTACCAGGGTTGGGGCTTGTCTGTTGCCGTGGCGACATGTAACCTGAGACCAAGGCCGTTTCAGGATGCGTCCTGCACCTGGCTCTGAAACTGCGACTGTGGGATCCAGGGAGCTGAAGCTGAAGCCAAGATCTCTTCCTTGCTGCCAATGCTGATCCGGGTTTGCTGATCTGTTTTTAGCCTGATGGGTCTGCTGACTGTCTGTGACCCACCTGTCAGCAAGGCTGTGACCCAGTTCACAGAAGCTGAATTATCACTGGCCACCGGCCCGCATTAACCGCTATCCCATCCGCTTCAAAGACACCCCTCAGATCGCGTTAGATCACCAGGGCCTGACAGCCTGCCCATAGCCACTGGCCAAGCTGTAGGGTTCAGCCACTAGCAGGCTATAAATGCCACCTATGATTGGAGGGCAAACGAAGGCTTGGCAGGCCTCTAGTTTGGCACTGAAGTGACAGATATGACTCCTCGTCCTCATTTCCACTGCCTTGGCTGTAGAATAACCCTTCTTTCAGGAGCTGCAGCCCCGTCTCCTTACTTTGTTATGTCTCTGCCTAGGCATTGTCAAGCTTAACCTTAGAAGTAGGCTAACAGACTATGAATGATTTTCTGAGTGACGGGCTGTTCCAGATCGAGTCCAGGGAAGAAAAAAAATATAGTTGATACATGGTTCAGCCATTTCGCTCCTCCCATTAACTCTGGACATGGGTGATACCAGAAACTTGGGTCTCAAGATACACATATTCAACACACACAGAGGTAAATAAGGTAAATACTGTAAGGAGCCACCCCTAAAGCCTGCAGAAATGTATCCTCGAGACGGTGACTCGAGTTTGACACAAGGTGGGGGGGTGTGTGGGGGGGGCACAGCATGTGCCCTAATTGGGTCAAGAGCAGCATTTCACAAAGTAACAAGGGTCTGGCTGGCAGACCATAGTCCCTATGATGCAGACACACACAGCGACACTCTGTAGTTACCCCAGTGGTTCTTCTGCACAAGGCTGCTAACCTTCATAGATGGTGATGATGTGAGGGTGCCGAAGGGACGACATGATCTCGATCTCCCTGCGGATGTGCACCATGTCCTGCTCATCTTTGATTTTCTCCTTGCGGATGGACTTGATGGCCACCTGACCAGAAAGGAAAGATTTATCAGACGCAGTCAGGACGACAGACTGTGAGGAAGTAACATCAGAAGCCGGATATGAATTAAGGCAGTGTGAATACACCAGAGAGTCTTTCAAATTACCCATAACAATACCTTCATTAGAAGGATACTACCATGACATCACAAGGTTAAGAATGCAGGACAGACATTGTTAAATATCTCAGTCTCATTTGGAATCTCACTACTCTCCTCCCACTGAGTGGGGGATTAGGCCTATGACCCCCTTAACTGAAAAAAGACAGAGAACACCAACAATATATATATTAATGCACCAATAAGTCATGCAGAGCCAACTGGGTTTCATTAATTGAGTCGTCTGTGGCCTCAGTGCAAATGATAAATCACCATGGAGACACAAAAGGCCTATTTCATTCCTTTGCCTGTGACTCCTGCCAGCTCACGCAATAACGTCCAGCTGAAAAGAATCTATATCTATGCACGTTACTTAGAAGTAGAAGTGGCAGAGTAAGCAAAGCAGAAGGCAAGTCCTGGTTTTCACAGCAGTACAGGGGTTATCCTATTTGTACAAACATGCAAAGGTGGACAGAGCAATCATAGGGACTCCAGACGGAAGCTAGCCTTGTGGTTAACTCTGGCATATTTACAGTAGTGTTATTAATATGCATTGTCTCTGTGAAATAAAGCAATAAGCCAACAGACACCTTGGTAGCAGAACGCAGCATTATGAAAGTGTTCAATCATCGATGCAAGAACAACGAAAGTCAGGACTGGACAGCAAGTTCGAGAAGGAGATGCCGTTTCATCCTGTGGTCTGTCTGTGCTCCCCCACCTACGTTGCCTCAACCTTTCACGTTCCATCAAGTGTTACGGACCCCTGGGGCTCAAATCTGCAATATCAGTGATCTTCCACGCATCTTCCCATTTATGGGAAAACATGCTTGTCTGTTTGTAGCCAGCAGGATGGGGCAGCTTCACCACTGAAGTGACCAGCCAGCACGGTGGAAGACTTCCCCGTTTAACAAAGGACAACAAGAACCATATGTTGTTCCAAAGCCAGGATAATTACCATGTGCATCCATAAAAAGGAAGCCTCTCCGAATACCTCAAGTCGTTTGCTGATTATGTAGCGTAAGGAACAGAGATGCAAACAGGAAACTGGAGACATATTCCACCGGCACCGTGATGGACATTAAATGCTGTTCTTTGTAGGAGTCATGAGTCCTATGCTGTTTTCCATTACCTCATTAGGTAGAAAATAGACCAAAGAGGGCTTTTGCTGCAGCTCAACCTCACTTTGGCCAAAACCTTTAGCTATTCCTCTGGAATGAAGATCTTGCTGCATGCAGATGGGTAGCAGGCATTGGGATGAAGAACTGCAGCATATATAGGAAAGCAGTACTATGAAAGTCTAGCTAGAGGGATGTGCTCAACCGAAAGACTTTAAGAACTATATAACATTAATTTCCAGTCTAATTGTGTTCTCACTGCTACGTTATATAACATAATTGTGTCAAGCCTATCTGTTAAGCAATTGCTACATCTATGTTAAGCCCAGTGGGAGAACCATACTTGGAAGGGTGCTATATAAAAATAGATTGAACTGAATAGTGGAGATTATAGAATACTTTTCAATTAATATTACACTTACCTGACATTTGTATACTGAGCCAAATTGGTTAAGTAGGCCGATAACTTTGCTCATAGAAGTAACAGCTGCTTCTATCCTGGGATTTAGTCTTACAAACCATTAGCCTCAAATCAATCTCCTGGAGACCATCTCAATACTGCAGGGCAAAGAAGGTTTTTATGCCTCACTCTGACATTTTTCCCACTGACGTTTCAAGCAAAAATCAGGCCAATGACAAACCAAGCTGGAATCATTCGATTTTTCCATTTCAATCAGGAACCCGCAGTAAAAAAAGCAACAGTCACAGAGTTAACCTAGTTAAAACGAGCAGCTCTAATCTGGGGTGAGCTTCCCGAAGTCTTCGTAACGCTACGTTGTTCGTAAGTTCTATCTTTTAACATAGAACTTACGTACGGCATAGCATTAAGGCTTCGGCAAACTCACCCCTGAATGTCACATCAATAGTAATCAGTTTGAAACAGCAGTAAACAATCATGCATGAACATGCACAGACGTCAGTTAAATTTAGTACTATTAACTTAATTAAAATAAGCAGAATTTTCTTCGGTTTACATCAACTGAAAAGCATTGGACTTTTAAAAATTGTGTGGTTAGCTATTAAAGTGCAACATATGAAGAGCCACATACTTCAAATGCTGAATGTTCTTTTATTTCATTTCTTATAGTATTTACTGAAAATCAGGAGAAAATGTATAAACAGAGAAAGATTCTGTAAAATTCTCATTGGTTGTAGGAAAAATGTTAAATAATAAGGAAACACAATGTGAAAATGATATAGCTGGTGCAAGAGTCTGGCTCTGCTAGTTCCCAGGAATGATCAATCCAAAAACCTTCATGCTTCAAAGCTGATGCACTACCCTGTTTTTAATAATGTAATCAAGACACGATCCCCTTTGACTGTCCTCCAAACAGGCTTTGTCACACGTGGATGTCTGTCCTGCAGAGAAATGCAGAGTGTTCTGCACAACTTATCATGTGGGGGAAACATGTTTGCAAATAACTACATGAAAATGTTTATCATGCGTAGATGTTTCATCAATACAAACTGAGCCCATGAATGCAGAGTGAAAATTTGAGATTAAGCTCCAAATGGTTTTAATCGTTTATTGAGAAGTATGAATTTGACTGGGCTCCTTAATTCACACCTGCCAGGAAGTCATTCAGAAGGTGCCCTGCAGCCTTGTGCTCTTACGGATCCATGGACACGAGTCCTTCGTGGGATAAGTTAAAAAAGTAGAGATGCAGCATGATCAGAGCCCTGTGTCACCTCCCAGAGCATTCTGGTAATGATCTCATGATAGATATACTGTGCACTCAGGCTAGCAAGCTCCCACACTATCAGTCCCACTCTGTCCCCTGAGTGGGCCTCCCTCTGCCCTTCTGAAGATGCTCCTCTCCTCTTCTTTTTCCTTTTCTTGATTTTTTTTTCTCTCTCAGAATAAAGATCATCAGAGCAGCAGACTCATGGGAGTTTTACTTACACAAAAATGTTCTGAGGGGAAAAAGAAAAACGATTGGTTCAGGGAGATAACCAATAAGATTGTAGAGGAGGTGTCCAAGCAACCAATCACATATATTGGTCCCGCCTCCTCTAGTTGCTTGGATGCAACTCCTCTACAATCTGATTAGTTATCTTTCTGAACCAATCATTTTTCGTTCTGCCCTCAGATGATTTTCATGCAAGTAAAACTCTCATGAGCCAGCAGCAGAGGTAGGTGTACAGTGTCCCCTTCATCTATCAGTCCTACTGACAAAATGATGTGCTTAGCCATTCCTTTGCATATCACACAGATTAAGGGCTACAAGTCTTACCAGATGGGCTATCACCCAACACAGACCTACCTGCAATCTACACAAATGTTCACCCTTATTACTATTATCATCATTATTGCTATTTCTGTTAGTCAAGGAGTGATGAATGTCCATAAATGAAACCCATTTCCTTTGACACATGGCAGTAACCAGCCACCAAGATTTCTACCCACTGTCGACATTATAGTCTTACAGAATTTTATTTTCCGGGAAATAAAGCAGTGCATGTCGATGTAACATTCTTTATTTCCCTGCAGGGACTGGTGTCGGAAGCGCCGGCAGGTTTTTGGAACGAAAAAAGCTTTTAAATACTTTTAAAACATGCCACATTAACACAAACGTTAATGCGTGGCCTGGTTTTAATATTTTTTACAGCATTGCAGAAACATTCAAGGGGTTTACGTGTGGCTCAGTGGGCTAAGCCTCTGTGCCTGGGATCGGAAGGTCGCTGGTTCGAGCCTGGCCTTAGAACACCTGTGGGTCCTTCAGCAAGGCCCTTAACCCCCAGCTCCCTGGGTGCTGCCATGGGTGGCTGCCCTTCTTGGCCAGTTTGCTCTCGCCTACGGAGAGGAAGTTGGGGGAGACGTAAAGAGAATTTCCCCACAGGAATCAATGAAAGTCCAAAAAAAAAAAAAACATTTGGACACTGGATGCAGACATCAGCAGTAATAAAGTTATTTGTTTCCTCTGGAACTTTTCAAGACAGACGATGGCATCTGAGGCTTTTTGTTTGTTTGTTTCTGGTAAGTGAAGTGTGGCCCTCTGGTCATTTAAGTCACAGCAGTTCTGTCAATGGCTCTCTCTCAAGCATCCGTCACGATCAGAGGCGAGGACAAGGCCGAGTGACCGAGCTCCCTGCGGCCTCTGGCATCGGGAAGTCCCACTGGGATCAGCTGCCTACGTTAACATTCATTACGGGGCCTCAAATTGCAACCGCACTTTTCTCTGCTGTGCTGGCAGCCGCACTGGGAAGAACGTGCAGCATTAATTGTATGATTGGTAATTGCCAAACATATCGCAGTAAATTAAACCAAGGCCAGAAAGTAAGTCATGCGTTTCGCCCAAGTTAGAAGCTTCCATGCGATTGCCGGCCACTGTTAGATTGCTTGCTAAGCGACTTGACGTTTCGGCGTCTGCTGTCGGCTGTAACACTCACCTCTCTCCCGGTCTGCCTCTCTACGGCCCTTTTCACTTTGCCGTACGTCCCCCTCCCCAGAGTCTCCAGCAGCTCGTATCGGTGTTTCAGGTTGTGTTTATGGTGGTGCTTCTTAACGCTGGAGCCCCGTCGGATCTCGCAGGCTTTCTGCGCCGGCTTCCCGCAGTAGTCTGCACATAGGGCCGCGTCTTCCCTGCGATGCTTTCCTGCAGAAATCTGTGTTTTCTCGGCTCCCAAACGACACCGCCGGTTTGATGACAGAGAGGTACTCTCCATCCTGTGTGCTGCAACTCCGACACCTTGCTACCACTTTTTAAATAAGTTGATTATTTAATATACTGATATCTATAATATGTAATAAATAAGCCAATGGCTATTTATAGATGAAGTTTTAGGGATAATATTATGATATGTAAAACAGTGCCTAACTTCAAACATGCCCGGTACATTTACCAAGCTCCATAAAAAAGAGAAACTCTAATAGATTTTAAACGAAAATTCGTATTAATTAGTCAAAGACCTTTAAAACGCATTTTGAGACTTGAACCATTAATTAAAAAAAAAAAAAAAAGTCAAATTACAGTAATCTGTGTTTAAAAGTTCAAAGTGATGAAGATGCAATATAGTGATATTCATTAAAACCAATTTCTTCTATTTCTCTTGTCCGGGCATCTGATATAACCTAACATCTACTGCAGTATTAAAATTATAAATAGCAAACAGTCGTCTCCAGTTAATTCAAATAGAGCGAAGCCTAATTCTGTCTAATTCTGTCCCGTAAGCGGCTGCTCGGTCCTCCGTGTGCGTGATCCATGCCCGAGTCCTTGTCAGAAACGTACAACATTCGGGATCCGGAAAGTGGAGGTTCCGTGCATAATCTCTGCCATAATACTCCGCTACCGAGACGTCCGGCTCTCTCCTTTGCCTCCTCTGAGCTGAGCCGCTCTGAAACCGAGTAAGGGATCTGAGCCCAAGGTGGGCGGGGTTATCGGAGCTGCTCCCGTACTGTAGCCGTCTCGCTGTATCTCAAATTCGTCGCTACTCCAACCCCCACAAACACGACCGCTACATACAAGTTATTTCATTCACGAAGCGATGTAGTGATACATATACACGTGTTTGTGCATGTATGTATGTATACATATATGATAATATAAAAATTGATGATCAATAACTGATACTGTTAAGTCCCTAATTTTTAGTAAACGTGTTAACTTTGTCTATTGGATAATTCTTGAACAGCCTGGGTCTGCTTTGTGATTATTCAAAGAATCGTCTGAAATATCCTGGAAATATGAAAATTTGAACTACTTGCAAAAAAATTATGAACCCTACATTTGCTCAGAGTTGCAGTGACTGGCTAATTAGTCTAATTAGGCCTAGTTTATAAACACGGTGTGTGGAACTTAAAGGAAAGAACTCAAGTGACTGTGATCAGGATAAGTTTTTTTTTTTTTTTTGAGACACAGAAAATAAAAAATAACTGTAGCATTAGAGAAGATACTGGTTTGATGAGCAGTACCTTTTACAGATGACATTATTGTCCTGCAGGAGGAATGTCAGTAATTCACCTTTACAATGTACATTGGAATGCGATGAATGCAGTCTGCTACCAATATCCTCTTCCATCAATACTGCTTTGGTTTGCAATATGACCCCAAAGCATTCCATTCTAACCCATCCCCTACCCCCTACGCTCATCCCAGTAGGGACATGACCTTTTTTGTAACTTCTAAAGACAAACAATGTCCAATTAGCGTGGGTGATGCCTGCCTTTCTTCCTTGAAAACAAACAACTTTGAAAGCTCCTGGAACACTTAATGAAATCAGAAATGTTTTTCATCTGAGACGGAATTCGGAAATTACATTCTAGACACAGTCCAGTCCTACTTGCGTAATCTTTTAGAAACATATGTACACTGCCCTCTCGTGGATGTAATGAGCAACGAGAAAGCAACGAGGCCACATCTGAGAGAGAAAATTGGTCACAACAAAAATAAGAAAAAACGTTTTCTTTTGGCCAAAATGAAACGATCAACGGATAACTAACCGTCTTATTTGATATTCAGTCCTTTGTTAGCAATATAACCGACAAAAGTTGAATATTTTCCCATATTGCATGGTCATATGAGCACTAAATATTTAAGCTGTGATGTGACTGGAAAACACTAAAAATGCTGCAAATGATCATTCTGGATAGCACCTATGGAAAGAGGAGTTATAAATGCAAAAGAACAAACAAGTGTTCTGCTGCTTATATGCAGTGTTCCTTGTGAGAAACCACGCTAGAAAATAATAATAGTAAATACTCAATTTTTATCCATTGTCCCAGTATGAGATTTAAAAAAAAATGCTTAAATCTATCTCTTGAAGATGACCCAAGAAGAATAAGCAGGCATATATAAAACTGTGGAGATTTGTATGGTTTCTAAATGAATTTTCCATTCTGATTTTTTTTTTACCCGAGTGGAGAACGATTACTGTAATAATATTTGGAAATAAAAATCAATGGTTATGAATCTTTTAAGACCGGCATCAGGCGGCATGTGAAACGTTGTCTTAATGAGGACCGGGCTTTATCTGTGGTGACACAATTTTCACAAGGCTGATATAAAAGATTGTGAAAATGGTTTCACAATCTTCTGATGAATATCTAGGGCAACAGTTAAGGAAGGAGATAAGGGCATGACATCACTACCCACCGGGCTGCTTGGTTATCCTGCTGGGGGGGTCGGGCTGGTTCTGGAGAAGGCTGCCACCAGCAAAAACATGGAGTATGTGAACTTGTAGCACCGTGGGATGGGGTCATCACTCTTTAGTGGGGTCCTACCAAGTCAACTGGTTCTGACAAGAGGTGTGCCTGTGTATCCTCCTGTATAGCTGAACAAGTAGAGAATTGTCTGAACAATGTGGAGGTTGTGGGTTTAAATCCCAGGGGACTCACATAAACTGTAACCCTTCCATCTACTGTAAGAAAAAAAATCATCAGATAAATGAGCAAATGGCTCACCGACTCCTCAAATGCGTTCTGGATAGTAAATGACACAAATTCAATCTTAAAATAGCATTGGACTGGTCTTTTTAGTATAATGTTCTTCAGTTATGGCTAGTATGTATGAAGTTATTTCAGTTTTGTTTATCTTCTGTTCTTTGGTACACTCTGCTGTGCTGCTGGACCTTTTGTTTATGTCTTACTCACAGGAGACAGGAAGATGGCTAATCACAAAAAATGAACGTTACCACATTCAGTGACATCAGAATGTTAGTCAAAATTCCAGATGGAACCAGCAGACACCGTCAGGTGGTGCTGAGAATTGACTGGTATGGACTGGTCAACATTACTTGCAACTTCATTCACTAATAGATGGTAAAGGAAATCACTTCAGGGTAGTGATGTAGGTAGTGTATGTAGCAGTATTGAGAAAAAAACAATGTAGGCCATATGTAATTATGAATCAGATTATCTTTAACATTGAAGAAAACATTGTTCAAAATTCTTGAAATGGGCGTTTTCTAACTATCTACAGACCTACACTTATCTTTTTACAGTATGCTAGATTAACAGGTGAAATCCACGTCCTGGGTTCTTCCCCACCTTGCGCCCGAAGCTTCCAGAATAGGCTCGTGACCCTCTTGACGCTGCGTAAGACGAGCGGGTACGGAAAGTGGATAGATGGATGTCGTCGGTGTGTTGTTTCAGCTCCATTCAGCTTCTCGCCTTTCCGCATTCACAGGATTTTGTTCAGAAAACAATAGTATGTTGAGTTTCTCCCTTCAGCCTGCTGCTTTTGCTCACCAAATGTGTAGCCTTTGAAAAAAAAATAATTCCGAGCAAACCATGTTCGCTTTGTCCCGGACGGTGTCAGAAGCTGGTTGACCGACACCCTGGTAGTTGTTGATGTTCTGCTCCCTATAATAACATAAATATTTTAATTACTAGGTAAAATATTTTTATTCTCAAAACGAAACATACAGACCGAACGAAGCGATATTTCAGTATTTATCGTCTAGGCTCGCTAACTAGGCCGTGCGAGCTAAACGTTTAGTTTGCTGCTTTAAAATCTTTAAACATTTCGGGTCTCATTCAGTACTGCTAAGATTCTCAGTGATTTATGAGAAAGTTGTAGCTGAAACGCGGCCCTTCGGAAATAGTTATATTCCATGGGCGGAATTACTAAAAATTAAATCTAATTAGGCTCTAAAGTTTTCCACATCGGAGTGCGAAAGCAATTAGCAAATCTGCTGTTATTGACCCAATTAATGCGCAGCATCTCTGTTAAACATGGCATAATTAACATTTGAACTGAATAAGGCGTTTTACTGGTGCGAGCACCTGTCGTTTGCGCCGTTTACCGGCGCTTTATTACAATAGCTAAGTAAGATCTAGCAAGACCAACTAGGTAATTTCTAGTAGAAATATGCCAGATGCATTGCTTTTTTTAATAAGGTAGTTGATTGGGTGCCATATGATGCCTATTCATAGCGTCTAATGACAAAAGCTGACATCTACCTATATTCTGTAACCGATTTTCCTCAATTTTTAAAACTTTTAGTGGCAGCGACTAGTTACGGTTTTTATTGTATCACGCCTGCTCAGTGTATCGGACGTTTCGGTAATGCATTTGGTGGAATAGCCTCTTTCAGCACGGAGCGTTGATATTGGGGCTGCAGCTCTTCGTTGATCCCTTGTGCCAGGAGGCCGGGCGCTCGCATCTTTTTTTTATCCGGTGAAGTTCGGCATGCGCGCTGCTTGATCGGAACACGGTTCCCATTTTGATATTATGATTCACTTTCGTGCAGTTTCTCGTGTTCTGCGTATGGGCGCAATAGATGTCCTGGTGTTTAAACCGGCAGCGCCACGAGTGCCGCCTTCCGTGACAGGGGTGACCCTATGGGGAAGACGCCGCTCGCGGCAGTGTGAATGAGCGCGTAGAGGTTTATTTTACGTCAGTCTCACTTAAAATAGAAATTAATACCGCGTTGATGAGATGAATTGAATTTCGCTGAACCCTGTGCGGATCTGATATGTCTTCTAATTGAACATATTATTTGAATTATCCTTGCGTCATTGAGAAAATAAGCCAGGCTATATATAATCACGAATCAGATTATCTTTGTTTTAACAATTATAAAACATGGTTCCGATGTCGATGCTTGTCGAGTTGGTAGATTGTAGGTATTCACAAAGAATTGGGCCGGTTTGGAAAAAAAGTCATGGGAGGTGTTTTTTTAAAGCCATTTCAAAAATAGACCGTGGTCACAAAGTTTTATTTTAAAAACGGAGCTATCAAAATGAAATGTCAGTTTCAGCACAAACACCGGCTACGGGGCGAGTAGAGGACTGGTGGGGATCTAGGGCAGGCCCAGCGGCTCTGGCTAAAGTACCACCCCAAGAAGTAGGCCTCACACACACATCAAATTCCATAAGTATTTCATGCAATGAAATGACAAAAACAATGCAGTTTGGAGCCCGAAAGGTACTAAAAGTAAATTATGCTTGGGTTCAGGCCATATTGTGCAGTGATTGTGCTGGAAGTTTCGCCAGCACGCGGTAACCCTGTTGCTATGCGGGCTTTGATACGCGCTGCTTTCCTTCCCCCGCCAGAAAGCCGGAGACATGATGATGAGCACGGTGCAGAGTGTCATCGTCCGGCTCCTGTCACCCCTGTGGAGGGCCACGGAAGAGGACCAGGATGCCGCGTTTTATGGGGCAGGTTTGTTTCGGTGTTGTGGTTACTCAGAATTATCTGGATCAGTGACGGATTGATGCGTGGATTAAAGCCCAGGGCCTCGAAACGGTATAACTTATTAAATCTGGCAGATTGATCCGCTGGTTAATACGCTCCTTCTTTCTATCAGTGCTTGGAAACTCTTAAATATTTAACATGTCCGGGGATATTTGCTTGGTTTTAAATAAGACCGAGTAACCACCACGTATTATCACAGGACTTGGAATGTTTATGGTCTTTAATATGCTTGTACTCGGCTACCATCTCCCGTCTCAGCTCCAGAAACCGTCCGTGACGTGCGGGAGGGTGTGGTGACACAGCTATTACAGGACTACGGGCTGATCGACGAGACGGTGTACTTCACTGACGCGCAGGT